GAATTGCGATAGTTTCTTTCAACGCTCTTCTATATGCAGCATAATAAGCAAACCAAACCAACAGAAGTCGTATGTATTAAGTAGATGTTTAATATTTATTCAAATATTTTTTTTTTGAACAAACTCATTCAAATGTTATTGGATCTAAAACTTGTATGCTTTTTTACGAGCATCACAAATAGTTTGAGAACATAGTGCGAGAACTGAAGTATTTTGTGTTGTAAAATTGACATTTGTTTAAAAGAGCATTAGTTATGGTGTTTCCTTGTCTACTTGTGAGGGTGTAGAGAAGTCTTGAGCAATGTGTTAAACCTAACACATTCATGTATAATAAAACACCATTGAACTCCTTGAGAAGACATCTTCCTAGCATAACAAGGACTGCAATTGCAGCAAGCTCTCCTCAAACACTTTGGACTTCGAAGGTTGGTCTTCTGCACACTCACCACCACTGTATTACTCAAACCTATGGGGAGTTCTCCAAGTATATGTATCGGTGGTGTATGCAGGGACTTTCCCTTGGTATTTATACTATTACAACCGTAACATACATTCCCATAATCATACACTAGGATTCCTTATTGTACAAGTATATAATCTACCAAATATGAATCCAAATAGGATAGTATCAAGAGCCTTTATTCTCCAATTATAACCAGGTTATATTCCTTAACTTGGAGTCCAAGTTATAGCTTATAACTAAACCCTAATCACACTTACATTCCACATCAATCCTTATTAACTATATTGACCTATTAGCCATTGAATTAGAATCTAACATCCAACATTCTCCCACTAGGTCAATTAGTTAATTCAAAAAAGACCTTTAATGAATTTGTAAGTATGATTCTTTATTGGCCAATGGATTCAGTTAAGCTAATAAGCTTCTTGCATACTTTAGTCAAGTAAAGATTACTTATTCAGAACTATCAGAGACTATGAACTTACATAAGTGTTCATGTGCTCTTATAATCACTGAATAAGACCCTCACTTACATGAAGTAATCAATCATAGACTTGGTACAGAAGTGAGCCATATAACCATGAGTCGAAAGCACCAACTCCGTCACTTCCAGGTCCACTTAATCAACCTTATTTATGACTGCTTAATGTTTCCTATGAAGCTTTCAAGCTATGAGAATAGCTCACATAGATTTTCATGAAAAACTCAGTACATATGCTAATCAATCTCCCGACACTACTAATTGCAGCTAATAACCTTTTGCTGCTACATTGTCTCGCTGTAATACATATCAGTTGCTTATGATCTTTTAACAGCCTTTATTTCCAACAGAAAATAAGAACTAGAACTATATTTAAACAATGTATGAATTGCTAAAGCAGCATCATTTTATTAAACATTCAATTCAACCAAAAGCAGCAACTAGCTAAACACAAAACCAAACTTACTACTCATAGTCACAATAATAAGTAGCATGCATAATTATACTACATACTATCACTACTCCTACTAGTTCAACAAATCTAGGGTTGCAGTCACTCCCATATTGACTGCATGCTTATGAAAAAACCGCATTTGATAATACCTTAATGAGTAGATCAGTAAGCATTGCATGAGTGCTAATGTAATCAACCTTGATCTCTTCAGATTTTACTTTCTTCCTTGTCAACGCATATTTGGTGTTCAAGTGCTTAGTTCCAAGAGACCCTTTATTATTCTTAGAATATAAGACATCAGCCTTGTTATCACACCAAATTTGAACAGGCTTTGCTATGGAATTCATGATCTTGAGGCTACTGATGAAGTTTCTCAGCCATATAGCTTGTGATGTAGCTTCATAACAAGCTACAAACTCAGCTTGCATGGTAGAAGTGGCAACAGTATCTTGTTTCACACTCTTCCATGACACTGCCCTATTTGCCAACATGAATATATAACCTGAAGTTAACTTAAGTGAATCAAGGCAACTTACAAAGTCTAAGTCACTATAGCCTACTAGTTCAAGTTTTGAATCCTTCTTAGACACTAGTTGGTACTCCTTTGTTCTCTGTAAGTACCTCAAAACTTTCTTGGCAACTAACCAGTGTACATTACCATGATTAGACTGAAACCTTCCTAATATGCTAATAGCATATGCAATATTAGGTCTAGTACATACCTATGCATACATGAGACTCTCAACGAGGGAAGCATAAGGCTTGCTAGCCATTTCTTTCTTCTCAAAATTTGTCTTGGGGCACTGATCCTTACTGAGCTTTTCTCCCTTTGTCATGGGAACATCACAGCCATTCGAGTCTTCCATATTGAACCTCTTAAGTACATTTTCAATATATGCTCTCTGTGATAAACCAAGCAGTCATCCACTTCAATCTCTTGTGATCTGAATACTAAGAACAAAAGTTGCCTCTCCCATATCCTTCATCTCAAAACGCTTGGACATAAATGTCATGGTGTCACTTAGCAATGATACATTATTGCATGCTAGTAATATGTCATCTACGTAGAGAATGAGAAAAATAAAACAGTTGCCATTTATTTTCATGTAAACACACTCATCACTAGGGCTATCTTCGAAACCATGTGATGAAACAATCTCATCAAACTTCAAATACCACTGTCTCGAGGCCTGTTTCAATCCATAAATAGACTTGTTAAGTTTACAAACCAAATTCTCTCTCCCTTCTTGAATGAAGCTCTCTGGTTGCTTCATGTAGTCCATTTGATGTAGGAGCAGATCAAAATGAGCCACTATGCCATGATCACTCTAAAAGAGTCTTTTGTAGAGACTAGAGAAAATGTTTCATTGTAATCAACTCCTTCTTGCTGAGTGTATCCCTTAGCTACAAGCCTAGCTTTGTATCTTTTGATATCACCATTGGAGTCTCTCTTAGTCTTGTAAACCCACTTGCAGTCTATTGGTTTGATTCTTTGTGGTAGCTCAACCAACTCCCACACTTTGTTCTTATTCATGGAATCCAGTTCTGATTGCATAGCTTCTTGCCAATATGCATTACTGAGACTCTCAACTGCCTTCTTGAAGCTTAATAGATTTTCTTCTTGGTTACTGAACTCAATTTCTTGCAAATACACAAGGAAATCATTTTAGATTGCAGGCTTTCTTGTGCGGATAGATCTTTTGGTTTTCATGCTCACATGCTCAAGGTTCTCTTTTTAAATAGCTGGTATGGTGTTTAACTGCACAAGTTCTTCTACAATCACTTCATCTTGTTGAACAACTTTTGTTGGTTCTATAACTTGATCACTTTGCACTGGAATTGGTACAACAACTTCATCTGTCACAACATCACCTAGATTTTCTTCTTTCATTGTTATGGTCTCTTCATTCCAGTCAAGATTTTTCCTCCCACTCATCATCATTAGCTTCTTCAATGAACTTGGCTCTCCCAGTTTCAATGAATCTTGAAGTATGATTGGGGCAATAAAGCATGTAACCCTTGGTTCTTTCTGGATATCCTACAAAGAAGCATGTGATTGTTCTAGGGTCTGGTTTCTTCTCCACTAGATTGTATGTTCTTGCTTTTGCAGCGCATCCCCAAATTCTCAAATGACTTAGCATTGGTTTTCTGTTAGTCCACAACTCGAATGGTGTCTTGGGGACATACTTGCTAGAGACTCTATTTAGCAAGTAGTTTGTAGTTTTGATTGCTTCACCCCAAAGAAAGGTAAGCAGTTTCGAATTACTCATCATGCTTCTCACCATCTCGATCAAGGTTCTATTTCTTCTTTCACTAACTCCATTTTGCTCAGGGGTGCATGGATTGGTGTATTGAGCAACAATTCCATGCTTTTGCACAAACAATGCAAAAGGACCAGGCTGTTTTCCAGATTCACTGAACTTTCCATAATACTCTCCACCCCTATCAGACCTTACTACCTTGACTTTGCAGTCTAATTGATTCTATACTTCTGCCTTATAAATTTTGAAGCAGCAAAGGCACTAGACTTCTCTGTCAACGAGTATACATACCCAAACCTAGAAAAGTCATCTGTGAATGTAATAAAATACTTGTAGCCATTGTGTGTTTGTGTTGGAAAAGGTCCACAAATGTCTTTGTGGATTAGTTCTAACAGCTTTGTACTTCTAGTTGAACCCTTTTTCTTCTTGTTTGTCAATTTTCCCTTAATGAAGTTGGCACAAATTTTGAAATCACCATAGTTCAGTGATGGTAGAATTTGTTCTCTAGTTAATCTTTGCATTCTCCCTTTTGAAATATGCCCTAATCTTTTGTGCCATAACTTGGATGAGGTGTCGTTTGTCAGTGTTCATTTATGCCCTATTGTGTTCACCACACTTATTGGTATATTGCAGTTAAGTTTGAACATGTCACCAGTCAATACTCCATCACCAATTAGGTTGGAAGTTCGAAATATTGAAAAACCAATCTCATTAAGATCAAACTTAAACTTTGATTTAACAAGCCTACTAACTGAGACTAAGTTCATTCTCATGGAAGGTATATAAGCAACATCAACCAAATCTAGCAAAAAACCAGAAATAATTCAAGCCTAACTACTCCAATGAACTGCAATGCAACTCTAGCTCCATTGCCCATGAACACTGACACCTTATCCTTGTTTGGCACCCTCTTACTAATGTACCCTTGCAATAAGTTTGTTACATGAATTGTAGCACCAGTATCAAGCCACCAGGTATCATAAGATATCTATACCAAATTCGATTCAAAACAAACTAAAATTTTATGCACCATACCTTTGTTTTTCTTACTTTCTTTGTTTTCCTTCCAACGTTTATACCTAGTGCACTCCTTTTTCTGATGTCCTACCTTCTTGCAGAAGAAACATTTCATTCCAATACCCTTATGAATTCTCAGATGGTTATTGCCCTTATTAACCCTTCCAGCAGCCCTTTTGTTGTTTCTTTGTGGAGGGTTGTCTTTCTCATTGGGAGAATTGACATTCTCCACTGCATTAACTTGTTTCTTCCCTTTATCTTGTCGAATATTTTGCTCTTCATGCACATAAACTCGTTTAGGTCCCATTTTTCTTTCTTAACTATTTAAGTACTCTTCAACTGAGAGTAATCAGGAGGTAAGGAATTGAGGGCGAGATGAACTAGAAAAGGGTCATCTATTTTGATGTTAAGTGCATCGAGCTTTGCAGCTGCATCAACCATCGAGAGAATGTGTTCTCTCACATCACCACCAAGGTATTTAGTGGCTATAAGAGTGTTCATGAGAGTTCTAGTTTCTGCCTTCTTAGACTCTTTGAACTTTGCTTCTATGGAATCAAGGTATGCCTTAGCATTGTCTGATTCAGTGATAGCCTCTTGAACCAGATCAGACATTGATCTTTTGATTACTAGCAATGCCATCTTGTTAGCCTTAACCCATTTTTCACATTCATTCTTCTTTTCTGCAGTTGTACCTTCAGTAGGCTTGGTGGGTTCATTCTCTCTTAGAGCTAAATCGAAATCCATGAGTCCTAGAGTTATTTCAATATCTTGCCTCCACTTCTTATAGTTGGTTCCATTAAGTGTTTGAATTGAATTCAGGGAGCTAATTACTGAAAGATTTTCAAACGAAAATAAACGTTCAAGACTCTATATTCTGTATAACTGAAACAACTCAACCTTTGTTTGGTTTTTCAAGTTTAATCAGTATCAATGCAAAACATATAGGTTGCATAAGTAATGATATGACATGAAAGCCATCCACCTTTGTTTGGCAATTAACCTTCACAGCTCATGCATCTTATATGTCCTCACTAAGCTATCAGTAACCTAACCAATGTCGATTAGTCACACCTTTATTTGGGGATATAACCTCATTGTTATGGCTACTGATACAAGCTGATCAATTTAAACCTTGAATTTTTAGCAGTTCTTGAATGATTGGAACAAATTTGTTGTGTTTCAATCATACAATTACATCTCAAAAAACATTGATCATAACATAACTTTCAGCATGTTATGAACCTTAAAACCTTTGATTAGCAGACATGCTAAACAATCAGGACTTCTAAAGCAAACAATTTCTTAGTTTTAATAGGCCAAAAAACAGTTCTTTACATTAGTTATGCATGGTAGGCAGTTTAGGGTTTCTGTGAATGCAATCATAGCACAACATTCATGGCACTTGTTTGCAGTTCTCTTATGCATATTACTTAGTTCTATACTTAGTCGAGATGCAATGAAAGTATCTCAAAACTTCATACAAGCAAGTATTAATCATAGCAGCGAAAAAGAAAACCAGAATTGAAATTTTAAAGAAACATCAGTTCATTCATATTGCATGCATGATCTTATGTACGTTAGTTCTTTATGGGTTTTAATCACACAAACTAGGCTCTGATACCAACTGTTAAACCTAACACGTTCATGTATAATAAACACCATTGATCTAACCTTGAGAAGACATCTTTCTAGCACCACAAGGACTGCAATTGTAGCAAGCTCTCCTCAAACACCTTAAACTTCGAAGGTTGGTCTTCAGCACACTCACCACCCCTGTATTACTCAAACCTATGGGGAGTTTTCCAAGTATGTGTATTGGTGGTGTATCTAGGGACCTTCCCTTGGTATTTATACTACTACAACCTTAGCATACAGTTCCATAATCATACACTAGGATTCCTTATTGTACAAGGATATAATCTACCAAATCTCAATCCAAATAGGGTCCAATTATAACCAGGTTATATTCCTTTACTTGGAGTCCAAGTTATAGCTTATAACTAACCCTAATCACACTTACATTCCACATCAATCCTTATTAACTATATTGACCTATTAGCCGTTGGATTAAAGTCTAACATCCAACCTAATGAACTTTAGTACTCCTTCCAGTGGGCACTTACACATAGTGTTGATGCATGAGCATTTGGCTAGGTTAGGACATTCATTAGATGCTTTGCAAGGAAACCTCACTATTGGACCCCTTGCTTCTACTCCAAATTGCAGACCTGCAATATCATTTTTCCTTAAGTAATATTAAAATTGCACTTTTCTACTTAGCTACTAATTCTTGAGGTTTTTTTTCCCCTGATCAACACAACCTGAGAGTTAGAAAGCAAAAATACATAAACATGTATAATCCCTCTCTATGTAGGCATCCTTATATGTTAAAAAGTATTGGTGAGAAGTATTTTACCACATGTGGCAATCAATACCACAAGGTAGAAAGCTAACTTGAGTCAACCTTTCTTCATATCTCTCTCGATTTATTGATAGATAGAGGCAAAATTATGATGATTTGGAGTTGCACTTTGCTATTAAACTTAAGTTTATGAGTTACAAGTGTCTCCAAAGCTACAATTATACGTATGTCTCGATAAAAAATAAAATAAAATAAAATTCTTTAACCAATTGGTTGCTGCATAAATTTATAAAGAAATCTATTCACCTAAACATTATGGTAAAAATGTTGACAAAATCAGATTGCAAATGAGTCAGATTCGCATTGAAGCTATATGATTCTTAAGTTACTAGTACTCTTAAAACTAAAGATTTTATATAGCTACATGGATTAATTTCTTTAAATGTGCCTCGATATAGTTGGATCCCATTTTGGATTATGTTCTACTTCGACAAATTAATTAAACTAGAATGGTAACTAAATTGTCATGATCATAATGCAAACTATATGAATTATTCCATGCAATTGCCACAGGCGTGTGACAAGAAGCTAGTAGTAAAATAAAAGAGGGGACTACGAATCGGTAATACAATTGGTAGATTGGATATAGGTTGGGTTAGGTAGGATGGGTTTTGTGGATTAGGGTGGGATTCGAATTTGGGATTTGATTTTAGAACTTGGGGCTAGGCAGGGAACCCAGGTTTTTAGGTTTGGCTTCTAAATGGACTGAAGTGACCAACTTGCTAACTTTTTCAAACAAATGTCATAATATAGTTGCTGAGACCAATATCTTATTGTCCCATATTGCTCACACCAAAATTTTCTCGCCTTTATAACTTTTTTTCCTTCTTACCAAATGATTGGAAAGATGGACTATGAAAAACAAATTTGGACTTGGACCTTGGGTTTGGGTTTTGGGGATTGGGCTTGGACTTTAGTATTATATCCAATAATTAATTTTTATTTATTAAATTAATCTTTTTATTTTCTAATAGACACATTTTTCCGAATGAAGTCTAAGAATGTTTAAGGACATCTAAAAAAGTTTGAGGAAAAGATGAAGCCACACACCCTTTATGTTAAACAGTCTCCTCCCAAAATCATATTTGTTGCAAACAGGTATATGACTACTATAAAGACACGCATCTACATATCATTCATATCACCGAAAATCATTCTTCCTTCCAATACTAAGCATATTGAGAGAACCACAAAGAAATTCGTCATAAACTAAGTTTTTCGATGCTGGAATCCTGGTGAAAGCAAATGCGTACAAAACTATAAGCACAGAGTATGAGCGAATTTTTGTTTCAAGAACATTGTGGTGTGCAAGTCTCGATCTTCATTTTATTTGTTTAACATTAATTTCAGTTTAAAATTAATTTGGTTTATTCATACTACTTAGGTTCAATTTACTTTTATTGTTTAATTAGCATATTTAAATTCATTTATGTGCGTGTGTGTGTGTGTATATATATATTTTGTTTATTTTTTTCATTAATTGTTGACAAATATCCAACATGTCTCAAATGTCTCAATTACCATCTTGATCCCTATATAGCTATTGCTAAACAATAAACATGGATTCAAAAACATCAAGATTTTGAGATTGTAATTAGAAAATGATGGAGAAAAATATACTAGATGAGGAGAAAGTAAGAAAATTAAACTGGCTTTACTCGCAAGTTTAGAATAGTTTGTGCAAGTGCGAGGCTAATCTCATAAAATTTAACGACAACTTAATTCCAATCAATTAATTTAGCTTTATTAACAAGACAACGCTAGAATCAACACATAGAAAAGATCAAACTAAATTAACAAAGTAAGAAAAACTACCACCAACCTTAATTTTCTCGTGTTTTGTATGCAAGTTCATCTAATTTTAGATTTCACAATGAAGACTCCACACAAATTCATGGTCAGACACACATACCATAAGTTTTCAAAGTCTGAAACCTCTTCATTGTCAGACATAGGTTTAGGTACTCCTAACATGCAAACAACCTTTGGTCAAGATTGACTTAATAAGTAGAAATAATAAGGGACAATCATCTTTTGATCCAACGAGGAATTAGTCTTTAAGAGAAGCAATTACAGTTCTAGATCTTCTAGTGAGGGTTCTAACTAAACAGCTAGTAAATAGTTCTTTTTCTCAGTCTGTTAGTTTTGATCTGGTCTTAGCTTTCCATTCCAATTTATCCAGATCAATACAACGTCCTCATCGGCCTTCGATTCCGGAGTACTGTTTTCATGCAGGTCAAGATCTAGGTCAAATTCTTTGCAGCTCGTCAACTGACTCCCTCGACTATGATTGCTATGCTGATTCATTAATGGGAGCGCTAGAACTTCGTTTTCCCTTCAGGATCATCTTCATGCTTTCAATAGTAGCGCGCCACCATTTGGTCTCCTTTTATTTTTTTTACCTCGTATGTAGAGGTAGTGGAGTTGATTCTATCAAGAAAACCTATCTTTTCTACAACATCTTTGAAAATGACATTCACTTCTGATCCATTGTCTACCAAGACCCAATTGACCATGGTGTTGGAGATTTGCATTTTGACGACAAGAGCATCATCGTGGTGAGTGGACGTTTCAAGGTCTCAGTTGAGGAACATCAAAATGTTGGAGTTGATGGCCAGCGATTTGTTGATTGAAGCTTCTTGCAAGCTGTTTTCCTTTCCTTCCTGGTGTTCCCCATAATTTCTTGTTCGTTGTATATGCAATTTACTCTGGAAGGTACCTATTTCCCTAAATATTAAATAGGATGGAAATCTTGAAGTCTTCTTAAATTTCTACGACACCTCTCAAGGGTAGATCATTGAGGCAGCACTTCAGGGATCAGATCAATAATCTATACAGGGAATTGGGTCGGCGTTGCTCGGGTCGATGCCTCTTTAAAGCGAGAAACAACTTCTTCCAAATCTTTCACTCATACTTTCATGTCCGCTAGTCTTGCGAGTTCTTTCCCTAGTAAGCTTCGTCGAACATCCTACAAGGATAGACAGATTTCCATAACCTTCTCCCATAACTCATCTATGGCGGTAGCCTTGTCGATCTCTTGGTTGGTACCATGTGTAGGAACATTGGGTTCATAATACAATTATTTGGGGGAAACCTCCATAGAGGCTAAGTGATTTGGTCAAGAGGAATATGAATTCTCCCAATGAAAACACCAAATATTGGAACCAAATTTGTGCACCACTGCAGATGGTGGAGGTAGAAATCTGAGTAACTTGCAAAACATAAAACAACTGTGACCAAGCCTAAGAACGGTGGGGTATGTCGACCAAAGGTCATCCAACAGTCAAATTAGTAAGCAGTGTTAGACCCAAGCAGTGGTCAA